TTATCTAGGTCAGCCGAACTTTGTCATGTATATCTGACCTGGGAGTCTTAATATGACTCTTTTTATTATTAGAAGGATAAACATTAACAATCAAATATGCTTGATTGCACTCACAAATCTGAGTCTTATAAACAGCTGACTGCTACTGTAAGTTTATAGCTGGAAACAAAACCTAGATAACCACAAGTAACATAGGGGACAAGTAGAAGGGTGTGCAATTTGCAAAGCATGGACTTTTACTTTTGTCATTTTTAAAGTAACTTGGGAGTTACTTTAAGCCTTGATTTTTAAAAGCCACAAAAAAAATCCATACAGCTTCTTGCTCCACTTCGCTTATTTGTTTTGCTTTTGCTTTTTTGCTTTGCTCTGCTGTTGCTGTATTTGGATAAAACTAAAATCTGCTTAAAGATGAACAGTATTATAGAATTTCATATACTATAAATTTAAACATTATTAGCCTGGATAACTTTATTATGGTTAACTAGATTGACAGTATTGTATGTACCCATGGTTACAGCATGGTTTTCTGGTTTCTTCAAATTGTACAGAAGATTTGGATGTCAACGTGAAAAGAGATTGCTGCTGAAGCAATCCTGATTTATTCTTTGTAGGAAGGTCTGAAGTACTTTGTGGACTTGTAATTCTCAGTGTTTTTCTGTGCATTAAATCTTTACATCCTCAATAAAAAAGCTTGAGAAAGAAACAAAATTACTGATTGTTCCTTTAGAGTCACAAGTGGGGACAAAGCCTAAGAGTCTTGAAAGGATGCATCAGAGTCAGTTTTAACTGACTCTGCTTTTGGATGCAGCAGCTAGCTGTGATTGTTCTTTATGTACATGATAATACTGTCAAGAGTAGCATGGGGCATGGAGTGTGCCAACTAAGAGTCACTAAGGTGATCTGGAGACTGGAGACTGTTCCAGTCCTTCTATTAGGAAAGGCTGAGTTAGATTGAACTGTTTAGTCTGGGGAAGAAAGGGCTATGGGGAATCTCATTAACGTATACTAAATCTGGAGGGAGGGTGTAAAATAGTATTTTGTTCTTTACCTAGAAAGAAAACAAAGCCTTATGAACTTGTTCATGCTTGGGGGCAAAATCTGATAGTTCTGTCCCTTTTTTCCCTTCTTTTGAAGGCCAAGAAGCCAAAGTAAAATGGCATGTTCCATATACCTAGTTGTGATAAAGCTCACTTGGTAGGCAGTCTCCAATATGCTTGTTCTCTTAGTTTTGCACTACTTCTGCAGGGACTAAATGTCATTCTGTTCAATACCACTGCAGCGTAAAATGGTTTCTATCAGATGGCAAACTGGTCTTTGTATTAGCAGGAAGGATAGTTAAGGACAGCTAAGATAGGTCTGCTGACCATTGCAAGCTTTTAAGTCAACATAGAGACTTGTCCTGGCAAACCTTGACAGACAGTAGGGGGGAAAAAAAAAAGGTTTAAATAAATGCATTAGTATGTAGCTTCCCAGTTTTGGGGAAAGCTTGTTGCTCTTCTGAGTTTGCCTCCTGTAGAAAATGGAGAAGCAGACTAAATAGTGGTAGGAGCATATTCAAATACCTATGTGGGTCAAGGCTTCTCTTTGCTATTTTCAAATTTGTTTTTAGAACTTTTCAGCCCTATTGTTACTTCTGTAAGGGGGATGCAAGTGGCATGTACCTAAAGCATCTGAGAAAAACTCCTCTCCTTTTGCCCAAGATGGAGGTTTATCAACTAGTTCTTGTGATATCTAGGAAGTCTTCAGAGAACCTGGTCATAAGAGGGTTAACACAAATGTCATCAAGCCCAGCAAACAAAAGCTGGTGCTGGAGCAGTGTTGGGCTTTGTCTGTGGGGAAGTACCTGCAAATGGAGCAAATCATCTCCTTGATTATATTCAGATGGCATCCGGATTCTGCTTGTGTTGATATCATCAGAAGATGTACTAGTTTTATGTGCATCTTAAATCACCCTCTGCAATTGCAAGTCTGTTTACTTTCAGCAATAGCTCCAGGAGGTCTAGATGTCCTTTTGCTTTCTCTTTTGCCAGAGAGCAGGATTGGAGTGGTGGGGAGAAAGGAAGAAGAGGGAATTTGATTCCTGTGAGGCAAAAGTCACTTGACTGAAAATGAAGTCCTGCCCCGATCAGTACGGTCATGAGGTGGCATCTCAGCCAGTGTGTAAATTCTGAGCTAGTTAACTATTTTCAACTTTTGAATTTGGGGCACACTTGAAAGGTATTTTCTAGGTAACATGGGGCATTCTCTATCCTAGCATATGAAAATAAAGGCATTTCTGACATGGCCCAACAGATTCACCAAGCCAAAAAACTCCAAACATGTTTGCTGCTCAGCTGTATAATGTCAACTCACATTGTTGGTTGAAGCCAAATAATTTAATTCTGTGAGTATGGGCAAAAGCTGCTTGGAAAGCAGTTGCCTATTTCCCACTGCACCAAAGCTATCTAAGCATGTTTTGTGACCATCTTTGTTTCTGCAGCTGGGATGCATATAGTGCATTCAGGCTTGTTGCAGGCATGAAGTAACTTAAAAGACTAGACTGTAGATTGTAGATAATTGTGTGCTAATAGCAGATAGCTGTGTGCAAATAGGGGCAGGAGGAGGGTGGTAGCTTTGGCTGAAGAGTATCTGTGATTCTAGATAGAAAGTGTTTATGTAGCTCTTCAGAGAGGTCTCTTTTGGGAGAAAGCTGCCCATCTCTTACCCAAAATGTTAACTGCCTGGATGTGAAGGACAGCTGTGTGCTGCTCAGTCCAGCAGCTTCTTCCCCTTGGGTCTGGGCCCGCTTCACACCTCCAGACCTCAGACACTGACAGATCTTAGATCTCAATGTAACTGCTAGCTCAGACTGAAGGTGGAGTAATGCAATGAGATAATGACCCAGTGACAATGGAAACAGATACTTCAGTGTGCCCCTTACGACATCAGTTGCTCTGTGAGGAAATAACAATTAAAAAAAAAAAAAAGTCCAGGTCTGCCTATATCAGTGAAAATAACTGGTGTTTGATATAGCAGTGCAGTGTTGCTGAGCAGTGGAAAAATCAGGGCATCTTTTCAGGGGTATTTGATCACAGACTGTGTCTATCGGGGATTTAAATGTCCTTTAGGAGTTTTATCTGCAGACCACAGTAGAAATAAATGATGTTACTTTGAGTGGCCTCTACTCAGATGAGCTCTTGTGGTCCATTGTAGCTGCTTCAAAGATTTCTTTTTGAAAGGGGGTGGCATTGTGTGTTTACTTGCCTGCTCTTGACCTCTTCGTTTCAGGGCTCATTTCAACACTACTTTTGTATGACAGATGACTGCCTTGGTGAGAATTCTCTCTATCTTTTTCTATCCAGAGCCTGTAGGCTATGGAAAGACACTGCATGCAGTTTTGCACAGACATTGAGTTTACCAGGAGAAAAATCTAGTTCTGTTCCTTCACTCACTTTCAGTGTTTCTCCTTTTATCTTCTGTAATAGCACGTATGTTGAAAGTGCATTTTTAATTAAGTTGTTTGCATCTTGTATATGCACAATACGTTCACTTTGAGGGCATTTTTATTACAGTAGGAGGGTGGTGATATGTAATAAATCTGAAGAATAATTAAAACCTGTGTTAACTTGTGTATGTTTTTCAGTAGCGATTGAACTTTATGTTAAGTCTCTGCTGGGTCCAAGATCAGATCTTAATTAAGTAGGAAGGAAGAGCTGGTTGTAGGTACCTCTGTAAGTTCTTACTGGTTTAAGGTAAACTTTAGCTGTCGTGTTCATTTAAAAAGGAAAAAAAAATATTTCCTAGAATTTTAGGTATTTAGCTCGAGTTTTTGTGTTCAACACTTATTGAGGGAGAAACACAGGAAGTGGGATAATGTTATGAATCAACTTCACTTCACCTGTTAATGGATGTACACTCAGAATTTTGTTCAGACAACTTTTGTTTACACCAAAGGGAAAAAAGCAGAGTAAGCTGGGAAGGCTTTGACTGCAGCATGATGTGACAGAGCAAGGGTTTAAACAACTAGAGATTTCTAGGAGAGAATATGACAAATTGTTTTTCTCTTTTACTTTGGAGTGGTAGAAGTACATGTCACAGTCAGCAAGATGCATGATTTTGATCTGAAACGTTTTTCCTGTATGCACTAAATAGTCATTAGGGGTTTTTTATCAATCCGTTTTTCTACAGTCTAGTTTTGGAAAGGCAGGGGAGGATGTGTCTTCAAAGTCTCTTCCTACAAAAGGTGAAGATGGTTAATAATTCTTGAACACCTGAAGACCTGAACAGATGTTAAGAAATTGACTTGCTGTATCTGTGGAAATGCCAATTACTATACTTGCTTCCCTAAAATATTGTGAGTGCTTTACATTCATGATGGCATACTAGATTCAAAGAAGGGATAAGAAAGGGGCCTGATTCAGGGGCAATGATTGGAGTCCTGTTGCATGAAATATTTTGGAAAAAGTGTTAATTTTTTGGTCTTTGAAAAGTACAGTTTTATGTTGGCGTGTAGATATTTTGACTTTGCCAGGGACAGCAGGTGAATGAACATTAATTGTACTAGCTTTGCCAAGGATTCTATGACATCCTTCTCATATCTAAGTCAAGCTGAGGCATGTAACAGTGTTTTGAAATAGATAATGGTTCTGAAGATGTCCCTAATGTTAAACCAAATTCAAGAACTGCATTGGAGGTTAAAATGTTAGTTCAGTCGGTAGGAGTATTTGGTCGTTGGAAGAGATCCATTTGGATTAAACTGGTAAATCAAGTAAAAACTTATTTAATTAAACCCCCTTATTTAAATGTCGGAGCACCTGCACTACTTTTTTTTAGATGAAGCAAGTTTTTAATATTTTATAAAATTCATAAATTTGATAAAACAGTGAATGGAGTAGATTAATAAAAAGCTTGAGTGATTATTTTGAAAGTATGAAAAAAGGGGGAAAACCCGAGAGAGAGAGAGACATTTGTTGCAGGCTGCCAGGATTTTCCAAGAATGACTGTAAATCATTTTCTTACAGGTTGTGTCAAATGCTGCTGGACAGGGGGTTGCCATCACTGGGAACAATACTTTCAACAACTGGAACTGGCCTAATGCTGTAATTTTTGCTGCTACTGTGATCACTACAATCGGTAACTACTTATTATTGTGTCAAATTTTTTTAACTATTTTTTAGTATGCTCTAGTGTGCTTATATTCTTCCATTTATCTGTCAAAACTAGCCACTGAATAGAGTCCCCATGGCTGGTATGTGTTCACCTGCAGGTTCACAGAGGAAAAATAACAGGGGTTTGACACTGTCTCCCTCAGTACACAGAAGATAAACATGTGCCTTTCCAGTAAGTAATGGATTCAAGGTACTGTTGGAGATGACTGGTGTCATTTCAGTTCCATGAACTTGTGCACTTAATATTTTCAAATCAGAATCTCAAATCAGAAGTGTTACAGAGCATTCTATTAAACTAATACCATTATGTACATATGGGGGTTTTTTGTATAATTGTCATGTTATTCACGTGCATCCCCTTAAGCTACTGAATTATCAGTGTTCTTAACTTGCAGAACAATCTAGGCTTAATATCTTGTCTTTTAAAGAAGGGAAAGTGGTGTTTTCTAAATCTGGCTACTGAACTGTGCTCATAAAACCCTCTGCATTGAAAGACTTCTATGTACAGATTTTCAGAGCTCAACATCATCTGCCTTCTGCTTTTACAGAAAGACCTTTGCTACGTGCTATTGCTATACGCTGGTTACACCTACAATGAGGGGGGAAAAAAAAGAGCAAAATAACTGGAGAAGGCTGGAAGTATACAGAAATGGAAGTCTTTTTGTTAAAGAAAACCACAGTACTACATAGGGTTTTTTATTTGGAACTCACAGTATCCAGCTTACATTGTAATTTATGATAAAAAGTTGAAGGCAAGAACACACCTAAGAAGAAAGCTATAGCAAAAATAGGCTGCTGGTTTTGGGTTCTGTGACCAGCAAAGAACTAAATCCAGTTGAAATACCTTGCTTTGCACTCAACTCAAAGAGTCTTATCCTAGAAAGTTACTGTGTCACAAGTTAAATGTACATCATGGACCTTTCACATGGAAGCTAGCTTCAGGATTAATTTGAAGCTTTTATTCTATAAAACTGATATAATCAAGTTTTATAACAGTGCTGCTTAAGACTAGGAAGTTATATTAGAAATTTTGAGAAGAGCTGTATTTCATATTCCTCATCTTGTTAAGATAGAATTGGAAGGCATCCAGATTCAGAAGATCAGCTGAAGTAGACTAAAGTTCTTACAGATGGGGAAGTACAGAGTCTGATACAGCAAAAGCCCACACAGTTGATTTGTGCATAGGTAGAATTGCCTTGAATTCTCTGCAACAAGAACAGACTGTGCACATACTTATCTCTTTTAGGTTACGGAAATGTTTCTCCAAAGACACCCTCTGGGCGCCTTTTCTGCATATTTTATGGGCTCTTTGGAGTTCCTCTCTGCTTGACGTGGATTAGTGCTCTGGGGAAGTTCTTTGGAGGACGTGCCAAGAGGCTGGGCCAGTTTCTGACGAAAAGAGGAGTGAGCCTGGTAAGGCCCTCACTTGTTTATACTCGTGCTGTGTATGTTTGACGTGTGAATTAAGCTTTCACTTCCTAACTTACCTGCTAATCTTGGTGGGGAAATTCATATTTATGTGTTCACTAAGTGGTGTTGCATAGAAATAACTGAAAGGCAGATTGTCTGATATGTTAATTCTGGAAGAAATCGTAGCAAAATGAGGTCTTGCAGAGAACCCTATAATACTAAATGTACATCTTGCAGCTTCTGTGGAGACATATATCTCCTTGCATTAGAAACCTGGAGGAAAAATGTAGATGAGGCTCTGTTTCACAAACATCCCATGCAAGCTTCTCTGGTGCAGAAATAAATTGTCCTGCTTTGGTCCCACGTGCTTCTATCCTAGCATCACTGCTTCCTGCTGTGCAGTGAACCAACTGAAAAATGATGTTTTGTTCTGAGTTACTGTCTTGTGGGGCTTTTTTTGTTGTTCGTGGCTTTTTGTTATTTTTTTACAGTGGTGGTTTGGTTTTTCTGCCCTTCCTGCCCCACCTCCCAAGTGAGTTCTATCTCAGCTCTAACTGCAAAGAGATAGGGGGCAAAGCAGAGCCAAGTGCCTGGATGAGAGTGGGACTGGTTTTTGTCCTAGTTTCAGGGACAGCAAGAACTTTGCTTTCTTGGCTTGGCACCTGAGAAGAAAGTCCAGAAACCAAGTGAAATGCATGTGTGTGTGCAGTTTGTGCAGAGGTTGCATGAGTGGCAGAAGACAGGAGTCATAAAGAGCAGAGAAGCAAGTTGTGTTTTCACTTCAGACAGTGCCTTTTAGTTAAGGCTGATAAATTGTTGGTGCAAAACTCTGAATGTCTGATGCTGTCAGATGATGCTTGGTGCCATGAATGGGAAAAGAAAATTTGAGATTTTTCTCTGATTTTTTTAAAAAAATTCTTCTTTCTTTACAGAGGAAAGCCCAGATTACATGCACAGCTATTTTCATTGTTTGGGGCGTCTTGGTCCATCTGGTTATTCCTCCCTTTGTCTTTATGGTGACAGAAGGATGGGATTACATTGAAGGCCTCTATTTCTCATTCATCACTATCACCACTATAGGATTTGGAGATTTTGTTGCTGGTCAGTAATTGTATTTTATGCATTATTTCATTACGTGCATGGTGTGACAAACCTATTTCCGAACTGTAACTTGACAAGGTGCTTTCTAAGCTCTTCCAAAACATTTTGCTGAGTAGAAGATTCAGTTAAAGCAGGATACTGATCCAAAGGACTGGCTGTTCAGTCTTGGTTTAGACACCTAAGGCCTTTGTTGGCCTAAGGCTGGAGCCAAGGTCTGGAGTTTTTAACTCTTCCAGGTGTCCCAGGTCCTTGTTTCAGACAAGGAGCTATCCTATCCTCCTTTGAATGAGATCCAGTATACTAAGCATGGTGCATAAAGTACTGGGCAAAGCTCTCTGTGCAGCTGTCTAGAACTAGTCAACAGGAAATGCTGAGCATACTGCTGTCTCCTTCCTAAATTTTGCCTTTCTCTAAAATCCACTGCCTCGTTCAGGGCTTTTCATGGTCCTTTTAAGTTGAATTTTGAATCCTCTTCTCAAGGAAGGTACCTACATCTATACCTCAATGGCAGAGAGGAGGCTTATACTTTTCAAGCAGGAAAAAAGTTCACTTTTAGAGCTTACAAGGAGCAGATAAATATGCTGCCATTTTATGTTTTTGTCCAGTGGTCAGAATACACGCAGCTAAGAAGTGGAAGACCTGGGATCAACTTTTTCCTTCAGAAGCATTTCAGATCCCCAGTTACCACCTCTCAGAGCAGTGTTCAAACAACTAAGCTCTGTTAGAGTGGCAGTTCTCAGGGTCGTATCTTCAAAGGTTTATCATCTGTGAGTCCTCTTTCAGTAATGTTCTTGTTTTTTATTTGTAGGTGTAAATCCAGATGCAAACTATCATGCCCTTTACAGATATTTTGTAGAGTTATGGATCTATCTGGGACTAGCTTGGCTTTCACTCTTTGTTAACTGGAAGGTCAGTATGTTTGTGGAAGTCCACAAAGCAATCAAGAAACGGAGGAAAAAAAGAAAAGAATCATTTGACAATCATCCTCGATCTAAAAAACCCCTTCAAATGGGTACCTCAAAGGATGTCAACATTTTCAGCTTCCTTTCAAAGAAGGAAGAGACCTACAATGATCTTATTAAGCAAATTGGGAAGAAGGCCCTGAAGACAAACAATGACAAAATGATTAAAGTAGAAAATGCCAAACAAAATATGCAGAATGCCAGTATAGATGCTCAGGTGATTTACACAAAGACAGAGTCATTTGAGTACGATGAGACTTCCCTGGACATTCAGAATGGTCACGTACTGAGACCCCTGCATGACCCCTCCAAACGTATTGGAGACAGCCCTCTAGAAGGAACCATGTTTGTAAACCAGCTAGACAGGATTAGTGAAGAAGAAGGTGAAGTGTGGGATTCCAGAGACTATCGACCCTTAATATTTGAGAATGCAAATATAACATTTGTAAATGAAGATGATGATGATGAAGAGGAAGATATCTCAGACGATGAGGAAACATCAAAATCCTCCATGGATGATAATCTTGCAGAGGAATCAGAAACTGCAAAAAACCTGGTAAAATTCCCATCCTCTGATGAATCTACCTTTACCAATAACGAGCTAGAACTTTCTGTGCCTTATGAACAACTGATGAATGAATATAATACAGTAAGCAATGTGAAGGCTGCAACGTGAAGTATGTTTGACAATGGTTTTCTGAAGGTGGTCCTTGCATATTGATCAAACTAGCAGACCAAGGAGAAAAGCATGTTTTTGCAGCTTCTCCTGTCTCTGAAAACAAAATCAAGTCCAAAATTAATAAACCCCATCTGAAGTTGGTTTCTGAGACCGTCAGCTTTGCTTATCTGAAAAAACTTGTAAAATTACAGTTGCATTTGGAGTCCTGCTCCTTTCTGGGATTTTATGGTTCTTGAACAAAGTAGAAAAGACTAGTTAATACACTGGACCTGCTTTGTGTTTATGCATTTCATTGAGGAATTAGTTTGAGAGTATAACTATACTGTTGCAAAGAGACTGTTTTGGGCATCAAATGTATTCGGTTACTCCATTAGCCTTTCACCTCTGAAAATGTGGCTTTGAATCCTGCTTTGATTACAAATGAAAGCAAGGGGTTTACTACTCTAAGTTGGCCATTGTTAAGCTGTTGCCACCAAAAAAAAAAAGGTGCAACCACTAGTTGTACTTAATGAGAAGCTTTAGATGGAATACCAGGACACACAGATCTGAGCTGAGGTTTGCTGGCAGACTGAGGAGGAAGCTTCTGAAACATCTGTCTAGAATACGTCAGTGCTTGTCAAATTATGGTGAATTGTAATTTCATGAATAGAATATCGAAAATAAAAATTCCAAAGGAGTGGATTGAGAAGGAGCCCTCTAACAAGGAAGAATCTTCTGGGATGAAGGTCACTAACTGGGCTGCTAAACTGCACTTCAGCCCCAGAACTGTTAAAGTGATTGGAAGACATATTGATCAGAGCATGTATGAGCACGAGCAGGATGCAATGAACTTTTTTAATGTTGAAAGTGTCCTTCCACTGTCCATTTCCTAGAGGAAATACTTGAATGAACCTTATATAGTATCTATGTACAGGTGAAGTTTTATTGACACTGTTCTTCTGAGGAAATAATCCCCTTGGGAGGCACAGATATTCTCCAAATGTCCTAATGCCTGTCAGAAGGGACCTGTAGCACTGCTGCTGATCTGCACAGTGTGTTAGTCAGTATTGTTGTTTGATGTTCCTCCCTGCCTTGGTACTTCAGGCTAGACTTGAATGAGAGATGGTTTTTAAAACAGTTGATCACACTTTGCTTCTTTGTTTTGTTCTAAAGTTTGAGATATCTGCATATACAATGGTTATTCTATCCCACCTTCAAGGAGGCTGGGAAATGCCAAATCTTGGGCAAACTGGGATGTGAACAAGTAACTTAAGGCCATAAGGCACTTCTTTCAAAAGGACCTTTGGCTCTAAGCTCCTGAAAGTATTACCTCTTGGCTTGGAGATGGGCTTCTCATGAAGAAGGAAGTATGTCTCTTCATAATATTTATGCCCAAATTGTTTTGGCTACAAAGAAAACTATACCATGGTTTTATATTCTTTCCTTTTCCATATGTATGTGTTAACCCTGACAACTCTTTCAAACGAGGCTCTTCATTACATGTTGGCAAAAGGTAACTGACTTAAGTTGCATCCAATATACTTGGAACAGAAAGTAGCCAAAACCTTTGAACCTTAACACGTCAAGTTCTGTTGTTCTGGTTAGTTTTGCAGTATTTAAGTAGGTTATTCCAGTATGTCCTAAAGTTTCCAAAGTTCAGTGAACAGTTGAAAGTTGTCTCATTCCCATTTTCAGTGTAATGCTGGCAGACTCACTAGCTCTGTAAGAAGAGTTTATGGAAACTTGCATCGCTAATCTTGAATTACTAGATATTTGTAATAATTGCAAATACTGGCTGAAGCTTTAGCTGCTGGCCTGTTCCACAGATGGAGGACACGTGAGAAACTGGCACTCTAGTTGGATAGCCTGTTGATGGGAAGTTTTGAAGTCATATACTGTGAAACAAGGGATCGACTTTACTAGTCTTTTTTTTCAGAATTTTCCACGTGTGACCTTTGTTTTTAACTAGAAAGTGAACACAAGGCTAGGGCCAATTCTGTTATACCAGCAAAAATGGGGAATCAACATCATTTGATTTTGTAATCAATCCCTATTTTATGAAAATGTCACTGAAGAGAGATTCTAATTTGAAATCAAATCTTATTATATTATTGTTATTTAGAGCAGGTGTGGCTGGATGAATTTGACTTCTACCTTACAGGAAAGAGGTAGAGGCCTTATTGAGAAGATTCCAATTTATTTCTAATACTCCTGTCATTTTTAAAATGACTCCAAGTATTTCTATGTATCTGAAGTGTTGTGGTTGATAGCTATACCTTGTAACTGTAAGAAATGGTAGGTAAGACTAAATGCATGATACACAGGATGCTTTGTGTAGCAAGTCTAGCTACCTTTTTGTTTTGTCTTCAGTGCACATTATCTTACAAGAAAATGAGGAAGCACTCCGTATAGCTTTTGTTGTTCTCCAACTTGTCTTCCATTATTGATGTAAAGATAAAAGTTTTAGTGACAGTTAGAAAGCTACAGGACAGTGTGGAGAGAAGGGGTTTGCTGAAAGTGCATGAAATGGAAAAGCATAGTCCAATCTTCATTTAAAAAAAAATAATCCTGTTTAATACAGAAATAATACAACCCAGACAGTTGGCTGGGCTGCCTTGGTTGGGAGGGGATGTTGCACACTGGAACCCAGACTCTCTGTTCTACATAGCAACGTGCACTTGTATGCCAGAGCTGAGAATGGAGGGGATCTGTTTCATATTATCAAGTTAGATGTGGCTTTCTGGCCTTTCCCAGTGTAGTCAGAAGAGACTAAGTGCATAATAAGTATCATGGGATTGAAAGTAATAATTAAAATTTATTAAAACAAAGTACAATATTCCCACTTTTTGGGGAAACATGATCACACCTCACAAAACTGTTCTCAAGACATCCCACCATGTGCCTTAATGTAATCCTAACACTGGGAAAAAATTCCTTTTTACACAGGGGCCAACACAATTGTTCTCATTAAGCCCTACTTGTTTTCAGTGTTTTGGAAGGGTTCAGTCGGCACATAGCTTTCACACTGTCTCTCTCCAAAAAGTTGAACCATTTCCTAGGGTTTTTTAAATTATGGTGCCACCTGAGAACTTCCAAAGTGCTAAGCAAGACAGATTTTTGCCTGCCTGTCTTCCGTATCTTAAGAAAAGCAACTGCCTGGCTGATAAAAATTAATGTCTTTCTGTCAGATTTACATGTAGTGAGTCAAAGGAGGGTCCAGGCTGGGTTTTGAGCTATTCAGCCCCAAAAGTGCCTCTGAGTAAATTCCCCAGTGCTACTTGGTAAGATCTTGTAGTTATTTCAATTATCTGGTCACTCTGGAAACATTTCTTTGGATACCATGTAAGAGTTCATTTGCCTAACAGATAATGTTAACAGCTCTCTTATAGCTATCGAATTTGCTGCATAGGTGTGATAGATCTCTTCTGGAAAGAGAGGAAAGGAAGATTTCAAAATAGAAGAGAGGAAAAAAATAAAAGGCAGCTTAAATGCACATGTGAGGAAAGGATGGAATAGAAGTGGAAACTCTTCTTTCTTGCTGTTGCCTACAAGTAGATTGTATTTGCAGTCACATCATGTGAAGCATGGGTCAACTTTCACAATATAAACTTATTAATTTTGCCAAGATGAGCCAGTACTTAAAAAAACAAAAAACAAAAAAACAAAACAAAACAAAAAAAAAAAACCAAAAAAAAAACCAAAAAGCAAACCTTAAAATCCTGAAATGTGACAACAAAAGTCTGTTTCTACAAAAGCCCTTTTAAGTACTATAGGCTATGTGATCTCATCCTTCATTACATCATTGTGATGCTTCTTGGTTTTATCTTGTGCTCTTGAAGCCTGTTTTTACCAGAAGGGTATGACTTTCAGATACATGTCTCACAGCAGGCAGTCTTAACACATCTGATACACTGGTACGAAATCACTGAGGAAGTACAAAAAGTGGTGTGTTAAATTTTTTCTGAACTAATGATTTGTGAATCCGTTGCTGGCAATGGTTGTCACAAAACATGAAGAAATAAAAGATAGACTGATAATATTTTATCAGTTACACAGTTGTATATGTCAAGATTTATTTTTTCCTCCTCCAGTTGATCTGGGAGAGTATTTGTAGAGACAGACAAGTGTCACTGATGAGGAGAGCAAAAAGCAATATACAAGTCTCTTGACCTAAAGAAACAAAAAAACCCAACAAGAACTCTGTCATAGACTTGTAATTTTTGTGCCTCGTGGGATACATTCCATTTGTGATGGATTTACTTTTTCAAAAATTATCTTGTCTTTCATATGGCTTTTGAAGTTTGTACAGTTCTGACTCTTCTTATCACTCCATAATATGCCTGTATGTCTGTCCTTTGTTGCCGATTGTCACTGGAATCACACTGTATGTAAATATTTGCTAAGTCTTTGTAAAATGTAATTTATTTTAATATTTTGCAATAAAAATTTTACAATTTATCCTCTCTGTCATGAGAATGGCAGTCAGGAAATGAGTTTTCTTTTGGCAGCTCCCTATACTTGTAGTACACCTCACAGATGAGACTGGTTCTGATCCAAAAAGCTTGAAGGTAAGGAAGCCAATAAAGCAAGTTGTTTTAATGAAGGCAGATGCCTATACCCGTATGGGGTATTGATGATTTCAGTTCAAAAGCATCTGGTCTTCAATTAGATACAGCATAGCAAAGTATTATTCAATGAGATTTTGGATAGCTGTTGAAAGATTCTAGGGTCTGTGTTTCTTTGGGGGGCTGTTTTTAAAGAAGCTGCACTGGGACAGGAAGATTTGGAGTTGTACAACAATAAAATAAAATAACTTCTATCTGATTCTTGTGCTACAGCTGTTAAAATATCAGCATTTGAATTTTCACAAGATTTCTAGCAGCAGTGCTCACTGTTTTGCTGTCTAGAAGTATTTGCAGTCCTTCAGCTCCAGCAGTTTCCTTAAAACACTTGAGAAAATAGGTGCCTATATTAATGGGTAGCAAAATGTGACAGTGATACTCTTGATAGAGAGCTAT